AAAAAAAAAAAAAAGAAACAGTAGGTTGTACTCTAAAATTCAGAGAATGAATGTAAATGATTAATTTTAATTATGTAATACTTAAAACATTTCATGAAGAAAATGTGTCTTTTTATTACAACACAAATAACATATTTTAGTTAACCACCATGGAATTTAAGAACAATTTAAATCTAAATGATGTTAAATATATCTGAATAATCAGTTTTTGGTTCAATAGTAGCTTAAATCTTTCTCTTAAGCAGACTATAGGTGACAGACTGATACCAAGGTTGGATATCATGATCCTGCTTCAATACCCAAATTTCTTGAAAACTTAAACAATAAAATTAGTTTGAAACCTCTTTTACATTCCAGGTTACAGGAATTAACAGCTACATTTCTCTCTCGGAGAATTTGTTTTAAGAAAATATAAACTAAATATATAGCACCAAAGTATCTGAATGTATCCTTCAATGGTTTCCCCCAAATGATGTTATATTACTAAATATAAAAATAATCCTTTTAGTCTGAATTACTCCAATAGGCTACATATGTTGTACTGTGTATAAATTATCTATAAATGTTCAATTTTTTTCGCCAAAAGTTTGAGAATCTCATTCAGGTCTTTCCTTCCCTACTTAAAAAAAACTATTTTAAATGGAAATAATACAAAAATTAAAGAGTTATAAAATAGAAGAAAATGCATATTGTTTGAACCACTTCTATAATATCTGTGAAACACTTTATATTTTAGGCATGCATTTATTATTTGCCTATTTCTATATGTTGTACAAGTAAGTAATTCTGTAAGATGTTCACAAACCTGATTTTAGAATTAATATCAATATGAGTTTGTTTCACGGGAGAGCAGAGAGAGGTGTCTTGACTGCTATCAGTATTAAGAGAAACTGAATCAGACATCCGAGATGGAGAGGAACAATTGCTGTTATTCTGATTGCTATTGTGTGTAACTTCATCTGATAAAGAATCTGTATCCTTTGTTTCATCTAGAACAAACACACACAAAAAATAACACCAATGACAAATTCACAAAGAATTCGTGGTAAATGTTTTCCAGTGATGATAAATGGCATTTATTCTGTCCTGGTTCCATATATGAAGTAATAAATTCTACGGATAATAAGATAACCTGAAGTACCCCTGAAAACTCATTCCTAAATACATACAAAGATTAAAGAACTTTGAGATTGTGGTATCATTTTTAATGTAATCAACGTTAGGGTTACCCAGAATTTGATTTAATTATGGACAGGACTATAAGCACTGTTTTCTAATGACATTAATTAATTTCAGCGAATATACTCTATTTTTTTTATAATTTTAACAACTCAAAATAAACAATATAGTTATACTTCACAACTCTTCTAAGCTTATCTTGGTATTATTTCATGTACATGTGGAATTTCTTTCCAATTTATTCTGGTAATAAAAATGAGCAAAGCAGTCAGCCAACAAACATAACAAGGAAATTCTCAAAGGCCAGCTGTTTCTTCATGTTCTTTAAAGCACTTCATGGAACTATTAAAGAATGGCAATCTCTTAAGATAGAGTGTATATAATAATTGTACTAAACAGAAAGAGTATTCACTGCCCATGACAGGCAGGTAATGCAAAAAGCAGTATTTTAAAAGAGCAGTATTGTGATTATCCCGTGTATCTGTGTGTGTGTGTGTGTGTGTGTGTATGTGTGTGTGTGTGTGTGAGAGAGAGAAAGAGAGAAAGAAAGAGAAAAAGAGAAAGAGAAAGAGAAAGAGAAAGAAAGAGAAAGAGAAAGAGAAAGAGAAAAAGAGAAAGAGAAAGAGAAAGAGAAAGAGAGAGAAAGAGAGAATCTGAGATTCTGTTACACAGAAAAATGGTAAGAATTGGGGGTGGTTAAAAAATGGTCTGCAACAGATAAGAGTACAAGAACAATGGGCATCTACTGTGTATCAAGTATCATGCTACATCTGAATACAGTCCATTTGATATAAAATTCTTCATTAGCTTCACTGCCTATCAAACTAGGTATGTACATCTGGATAAAACTAAGTAACCCAAAGATCATGTAATAGATAAGAAGTACAATAGAATTATAAATTAGACTATCTGTCTGTAAAGTACAAGTCCTTAGAAATAAACTTACATGAGGAGAAAGAAAAGATCTACCAAGATCATTTGCTAAAAATGAGAAATGAGAACTTTTTCAGGAAGGCATGTTCGAAACCTTGTTTCTAAATAATATGACATTCAATGAAATTTATTCCAAAATGTTATAAATTCTATTCAGGCCATTTCTACTGTTAGTGCTTTCCTGCCACATCTCACCTTTCTTGCTATTACTAAGTGCTACGACTTTTGGCTGGTTAATGGAGGTTTCAATCAACGGCGGTCGCATCTCTGCCATCTTCATCTCTTCATCAGAAGAAAGTTCTTCAGATTCCTAGTTTCAAGAAAGAAGTGGGAGAATATTTACAAAAATTAAATTTTGGACTCTGAATAAATATAAGAACGTATATGAAATGTTTTCATGGTTAACAGTTGATTCAAACTAGGATACAATTTAACTTTTTCAAGATATAGCAATACAACTATGGTAATTATTAACAATATGGCAAAGCACCTATGGGACAATTTTCTGTGGCAAGCCTTATTCAAATATGTTAATGATTAGTATGCTCCAGATACTATGCAAAGTGACACACCAACAAAAGTTGGACTAAATGAGAAGCCCTACCTTTGAAAAACTCAGTTTAGTGGGAATACCTTAACAAATTTTCTGTAACTCTCAAATTTATTCTTTTTTTTTTTTTTTTTTGAGACAGGATCTTGCTATGTAGTCCAGGCTGGCCTTGAATTGGGGATGATCCTCAGCCTCCCAAGTGCTGGGATTACAGGTGTGCATCACTAGGCCTGGGCATCAAATTTACTCTCTTAAGGACTGCTGGGTTCCCAGGAATCAGAAGGACTAAGATGGAATGCTATCAAAATCTAATGAAAATTTTTATCCAATTTGAGGACAGAATTTTTCTTACTTTTCATGATTTGTTTCTCTCATATTTATTCTAGATTTACCACTAAGTGCTATCAGATACAAAAAAAAAAAAAAGACTTGTTAGTCAACAAATATTTGTGAAATCAGATATCTGTAAGCTAATCAATCCTAGTTAATATGATAAAACTAAAAGTTCCTTTAAAAGGGTACTCTGTTAAAAGCACCAAGACTTTTTTAGGTACCTAAAAGATATAGATAGGATCAGCAGATTATTTCAGTAAAATGAGACAGTAAATATTTTAGGTGTTGTAGGCCAAATCATCACTGCTTCAATTGCTGTTGTGGCACAAAAACAGTCAGAAAATATGTAAACAAGTGATTATGACCACATATATAAAACTTTATTTACAATCTGAATTTCATGTTATTTCCACGTTATAAAGTGTTCCATTGATTTTTAATCAAACTTTTAAACAAGGTAAAACTATTTTTAGGTTACAAGCCATATAATAACAGGCTAGAGAGTAAGAGTGAACAAACAGCTAGGAGTGGTGGTGCATGCCTGTAATCCCAGCACTTGGGAGGCTGAGGAAGGAGGAATGCCATGAGTTTGAGGACAGCTTAAACTGCAGAGCATAGCAAGACTCTATCTCAAAGATAGACAGATAGATAGATTAGACAGATAGTGAATAAAGAAAACAATGACATTTTGAATAGAGAGAAGCACAGAAATAAAAAAAGGCAGGCTGCCACTATGTAGCTGAAACTCTAGATAAACAGCAAGAAAGCCCAAAAACGTACAACTGGACTACTAGAGAAAGGTGGTTCTCTGACTACAGACTCAAGCTGACTGTGTACTGGTCATTATTAGAAGTTGCCAAGCCAGGAACATATAAGGTCAGAATTATGTTTTAAAATATTAAGTCTTATAATAAAAATGTACAGGGAAAGAAAAGACACTGGCAGAATGGAATCCAGCTATCACCATAACCCTGGAGAAATACAGATTGTCTATAATCCTTAGGCAACAGCAATGGTGGTTGACAGAAAGGAAAAAGCAGCTCAGAAATGTGGGAATTATCAGAAGTAAGTGACAATGAATATGCAAAGTGCAAGAATGGGACAGGGAAGTAAACGCTTTGGTATCTGCATCATTTACACTCCTGACCACACTCTCTCCTTCATGAAATTACATTATACATGGACTTTCCAATTGCTCAGATGGGATAAATCCAAAAGTAAACTAGTTCTTCAAGCCTGTATTGCTTTTTTAACAGCCCCATTCAGCTAATGACATCAACCTAATCAATCATGGTTGTGTCACTGTTCCTACTTCTCTACTCTTTATAGCCAGATGCTACATCTCCTGTAATCTCACAACTTTCAGCCCATGTTTTCTGCTACCTTTATTTAAAAAGTCATTAAGCTTGGAGAATTCAGTAGCTGTTGTTACACAACTCTTAACATCTGGATCTTCCACAGGAGTATTATTTGGGGCCAAATCTACTGTATTGATTTTATTTCATTAACACTATCTCTCAAATATCCAATCGGATTTAACATTCTCTTTTTCACATGCCGTTATTTTGCTCTCATTATCCTTCCACATTTCACTGAGTTCTCCTATTTCTGTCAGCTGAAATATTTCAAATAGACATCAGACATAGACACCTCCTCCTTAAAGTTACAGATCTTCACAGCCAGAAAAGATCTACTTTCTAAATTTACGTTAAAATTTTCCTACACACTTAAAAAGTGTTGATTACACTTGCGCTCCACCACCATAACTCCAAACACAGTGCCTTAAACAAAGAAATTACACCCAATGAGTAGTAAGTTCATGGGGATAAACATGTAAGTTTTTCAAAGACAATGGCATATTAGCTTCAATGCATCTAACAGTATATTGAGTGATGTTATAAATCTAAAGTACATCCAACAGTCCTGGGTTTTCTTTTACCCTCTGTAGTAGATACTAGCTCCTAGGACAATTGTGAAAATAAATGTGTTTTAAAATGCATTCTGAATTTTTAAAAGGAAAGAAGCTACTGTTCCTACATACCACTGTTGTCCAATACAGCTTTCTACAATGATGGAAATCCTCTGTATCTGTGCTAACGTGTTAGACGCAGGCACTATCTGGCCAGATGTGGCTATGGTCATTCACAATGTGACTAGTGTTGACTTAGAAGCTCAAATTTTAAAATCTTTTGTTTTTATTTTTTTGGTGGCAATGAGGAATGAACCCAAGGCCTCACCCATGTTGGGTAAGCATTCTTCCACTGCACTACATCCCCAGCTCCTCAATTTTTAAGTCTATTCACATTTCAAACTTACACACCCACTTGCAGTTTGGGTATACTGTGGTGGACAACGCAGCATTAAATAAAAAATAATTAAAATATAACTATTTAAAAGGTACAGCTTCTCAAAAAAATTTAAAGTTATAGCTTCTCTGTTTTGCAACACAATTAGCAGTCTTTGAAGGGAATACAGTATAAAATGGTTGCAGTTGTCTGGCTGTTCTTCAGACAGGCAAATCAAGAGTTAGCATATGTTTAGCAATTCTACTTCCACATCCAAGAGAAATGAAAATACACAGCCACACAAAAACCAGTACACAAACATTCACCACAGCTTTATTCATTATATCCAGAAAGTAGCCAACTTCATTACAACCAACTTCATTATAGCCAACTTCATAATAACCAAGTGCCCATCAACTGAAGAACAAACATGGTACATACATACAATGGAGTATTATTCAACCGTAAAAATGAAGGCAGCAATGATATATGCGGTAATATAAATAAACTTACAAGATAACATGCCAAGTGAAATAAGTTACAAAAAGACCACATACTGTATGGTTCCATTTATATAAAATGTCAATAGTAGGCAAATTCATACAGGGATACAAAGTAATTTTTGGTAGCCTAGGGCAATGGAGGATGAAGAGATTGAGGAGTAACAGTTAAAGAGCATCGAATTACTGAGGTGATAAAACGGTTCTAAAAATGATTCTGATGATGACTGCACAACTTTGTAATATACTAAATCTCACTCAATTGTACACTTTAAATGGGTGAACTGTATAGGATATATCTCAATAAAGCAATTTAAGTTATGGCTTTCACTGTTCCACTAGAAGAAACTAGATATAAGAAAAGATATTCAGGGGGCTGGGGATTTAGTTCAGCGGCACAGCGCCCGCCTGGCAAGCGCGAGGTCGTGAGTTCGATTCCCGGTACTGGAAAAAAACCAAAAACAACAACAACAAAAAAGAAAAGATATTCAACAACAAAAAAACCATTTCATACCAATGATAAATGTTTAAATAAGAGAAATAATTGAGTATACCTATAATAGCCTTTTCATTTTAAAATTGTAGGAAAGACAATTACAATTATGTGTTTTACAGTAGACTAGATCGTCATCTAACTTACCTAGCAGTTAAACACTTGTGTATGAACAGTATAAGAATTATGTTTGACATGATAAATTTACCAAGTATTACGAAACTTCTTAATGGTGAAATTAACTGACGTATATTCTGCAATCATGGTATCAAATTTCTAAGAATGGTTAGCAAAAATTAAATGGTAAATTGACAATTCTTAGAATTACTCAAGAATAATTATAAAAGTCATACCTCAAAAACATCATCATGATTAACAATGTACTTCAAGTTCTCAGAGGCTTTCATATTTACAGTCACTGGTAAATTCCCAGGACTGATCTCAGCTTCAGGTTCATTGATCTTCTGTAGAGAGTTCCCTATCACATGTTTTTCTCTTTCATCAACTTTGCTTTTTATCAGAGTAGTACTTTCTGAACTCTAAATAAAAGAAAGATAAAGGTTACACTTAATTTTCAGCTTGACTGACTTGGGAGGTGCCTACAAGATTAGTAAAGAATACATCTGGGTCTGTCTGGGTAGGTCATGGACAAACAACCTTGTTTATCATATCTGGTCCCTGACCCGGTCCTCTCTGGTACTGCTCCCCTCCTCTGCTTCTCAGATGCCATTAACTGAGCAGCTTTGCTCTGCCATGATGTTTTTGCCTTACAGCCTATTGACCATGAATTGAACCCTCTGAAATTATGTGCCAAATAAGCCTCTTTTCCTTTAAGTTATAGGTGTTGAGCACTGTGTGTCCCAGGAATGGGAAAACTCCTATTTAAGTTTTATATCTATTTTGTATTAAATTTGTAAGTAATGCATCAACATCCAATTCTACATAAATCTTAATGGAAAATCTAACCATTTACAGGTAAGAATGACCACTATGGGTTATAGAGCCATGAGCTACATTAAAATTGTAATTTAGCCAAATTTGTTACTTTTCCTCATATAAGTTACAAGGCTGGTGTGTACAATTAAGTTACTTATCTTGGCATGCTCAACCAAAAAAAAAAAAAAATTAACCTTGTGTTCTGCTTATTGTGCAATTCATAGTAACCCTAATGACATAAAGTTTTGTTTCTGTGATATGTGTATAGAAAGTTCACTGAAAGAATATTAATTCAGACTTCTAAGTTTCTGATGTATCCTAAGAATAAGTCAAAGGTTAGTCAACTACGAAAATAGGGGAAAAAAAGAGTACATAATAATGACTTTCCTGACAATCATTATCTTGTTCTTTGTTTTGGAAATAGTTCTTTTTTTCTTTTTTTTTTTTTTTCCCCCTGTCTTTTTGAGACAGGGTCTCGCTGTGCAGTTCAGGCTGGCCCTGAGTTCACTTTGTAGCCCAGGCTGCTCTTGAACTCACAATGATCCTCCCGCTTCAGCCTTTCGAGTGCTGGGATTACAGGCATGCACCACCATGCCCAGCAATAGTTCTTAAAAGCTGTGTTGACACTGCCAATCTGGACACTTCACACCCAGACAACAGTAGTAAGAGCACGGAAATGGGCTTCAGTCAGTTCGTTTGAACGAGTTTCCTAACCTTCACACTCACATCTCTGTTTGTAACTTGCTGGTCTTCATGTGGTTTCACATCTCTTGCGGAGTCTTCACTGGTCTCTTCATCTTTTAATCTATGTACAATGGTTTGAACAGTCTTGACCATATTCTTAAGCTCATCTGGGTATGGTGTTGGGTATCTCTTTAAATTTCCTTCCTAGAAAAGTAAGTGAAATACAAAGTTTAAAACTACTGCCAGCCTCAGGGGATTTATTCTGTAATCCATCCAGTTCATAGGGTCAACTGGAAGACAGTAAGCTGTAAAACCATTTTAGGTTCAATAAAAATGAGGTTTTACCACAAAATAGCCAAAGACTTCACAGTAAATTTCAACATAAATTTTTTAGCGGAGTTACGTACTTTCCATTTGGAGATTTATGATGAGGATACTGCCAAAAACTGTTGTCACTTGGCTTTGAAAAGGTATGTAACTTGTCAGCACACTTGTAAAATTCAGACACTCACATACTTATGTCTCATGTACCATGAACCAAGCTCTTGCAAGACCAGTCTAAATGTCATTTTCTGGGATTCAGGTAGTTTATATAAAGGGTAAATAATTACATCTCTAAGTAATCTAAAAAGATATTATTTGTTACTCATACAACTGCAACACATGTTCTCAAATATATAAAGAATAAAAATGTTCCCAACAAAGACCTCTTTATCTCTATGACTTATAGAAATTATTGAAGAGAAAGAGGAGAAAATAATTACTGAAGTTTAATTTTAGAAGTACCAAGGACAAAATTCTGGCTAACTTCTTTAGCCCTTAATAATCTGTTTACATATGAAAAATTAAACTAAAATTAAAACTAGCTTTAATGACAGTTCAACATTGCTCTCAAATTCTAATGTGAAATATTTTGGATCAATAAGTGTCTTGAAGACAAAGAATAAATCCAATACTTCTCTGTATGCACAAAACACCATAGTAGATAGGTATACAGTATTAATTTAAATATCAGTAGACCATCAGTCTCAAATTTGAAAGAAAAGCTAACCAACTCACCCTGGGAGGTGCCTCCCTTTCATCTTTGTCTTCATCACATTCAAATGCAACTTGGGCCCGCTGTTTCCTCTGTTCTTCCCATAAGGAAGGATTAAAACTTTCATTATCTGATATGAACATAACTAGAGAAAAGTAAAAGAAAAAAAAAACGTTTTATTGTATTTATAGGAAACAATTACTTGCTCATACTCTTCATTATGACATACTAATTACACTAAGTCTAAAACACTTAAAAAAGATCAATGCTAGCAGCTGTATGTCCTAGGATTAACAACCAGGTTTCAGTTTTACAATTCTTTACAATGTCCGTTAAACTTTTTCTTCCCTGAAGCTATCTGTCTTAATCTGTTACTAGAAAGGTTACTGAAGATAATTAGCAAATTAGATACAGAAATTAGCAAGTTAGCAAATTAAGATATAGAAATCAGCACTGTAGATACAAAATTCTGTGCAGTGTCCTAAGAAGGTCAACATACATTGTATACATATTCTGTGCATACAAAATTCTGTGCAGTGTCCCAAGAAGGTTAACATACATTGTATACATAAATCCTTTCACCCAAGTTTTCCACTTCACTTTTTCCTCTTGGTACTGGAGATTGAACCTAGGGCCTTCACACTATGCTACTTCCCCAGTCTTTTTCTTTCAACTTCTTATTCTGAGACAGGGTCTTGCTAAGTCACTACCTTGCCCAGGCTAGGCTAAAACCTATGGTTCTCCTGTTTTTGCCTGCCAGAGTGCTAGGATTTTGGGAGCATGCTACCACAACTGGCTAAGTTCTTGATATTTCCTAATGCCAATATTTCACCATGTGTACAGAGTGGACAAAAAGCTTAATGACAGAAAGTGAGCCATTTTGGTAAAAAAAAGTAATTATACTGATGATACATAATTATATCTTTGAATTAAATATTATATAGAATGTAGATTATACTTACTGAATTTAATATACTTTCTATGTCAAGATACAAAAAATTATATACAATACTTATATACCCCATTTCAGATATAATATTAACAGTAAATATTCAACAACTCGAGTTTTTTTGTTGCATTAGGCATTTCAAATTACCTGAGGTTTAAAATAATTTATTTAACTGTTAGACATCACTCTACAGAAATTAAGTGCACAGTAAAATCACAACTTTTTGCCCATTAAAGAAAAATGACTATTGCTACTCAATACCCCCAAAAAACAGAAACAAAAACAAAACCTTAAAATTAACTAATAGAAATACTGAAATCCCTAGAATACCCAAATAAGGTCAATTTGAACATTTATGCAAAAAACGAATTATCATTTATAATGAGCCCTTGCTTTTGGCCTGATTAGTCTTTTTTCAATCTCATGTCCAAACTACAGATGCTATAAGGCAAGTAAGAAACAGGGGAATAGAATTTTTGACTCATCTTTTTCTTTGTTTTCATTAGTCAATTCAAGATTTTTATTTGATTTGCTTTACTGAATTGCCTGCCATTTATTTAATGGATTAGACTATTTGTTCAACAAATGTGGGATGTGGTTAAATTCCTACTGACATACCTTTATGACACCCTTAGAAAGGAAACTGAGCCGAGTAATTTCAAACAAAAACTATTTTTAGAATTCATATTAATTCCCTCCACCTATCTTAGGAAGTTATTTTACTCATTAGTCAGCCAAGGATTCCTAAGAGTGTTAGATTATATTAAAGCAATTTTATAACAATTTATTCAGAATCCAGGCAAATAACTTTGACCATGTCTCTCATTCTTGTCAACTTCTGGTCACTACTACTTCTTATTCTTGTATAGCTTTAACGTATTTTTACCTATTCTAGAAGCCATTCGACCTGATCATCTAGGTACGTTCACTGAAGACTCAAGTATTTGGCTATTCGGTTTCAATCCCCAAACCTGCTAGTGTCCTATAATGACCCATTCCTCTAACAACACATTTCTCAGTTCCTTGATGTCTTTAATTCTAATGTCCATCTTCACATCACCTAAGTGACTCATGATTATATTCATATTCAAAACCTTGGCTTCCAAAACTGTTTATCTCTGAATATTTCTAAATCATTCACTTCCTTATTATTGCTCATAAACCTTTTTTCGCCCTGTACAACCCCTCTAGGTTTTACTTCTTTCTCTATTAAAATTCAGATCTCAAGATACAATAATCATTACCACTTCTTGAAATGTCCTTCCCCAAATTCCAGGGGTAAGTTTCTTTCACTTCACTATGCTAAGAAATGTAATAAAGCTCCCAGAGTAGTACTCTCACTAACATCTTGTTTTCCCAGCTACAAATTTAATGTTACATGGGCATATACTTTCCCTTTTTCATGTCTGAGACTAATTTTTCTATGCAAGCTCCCATTTATACTCTATAAATTAATTCATCATTATGTACTTTTGAAAGCAAGACATTCTACATTTATATATAGCTCTAGCATAATACCTGTCGTAAGTAGGTAATGGAATGAATTAAATGTGAACAGGGTGTGCATTTCTCTCATGGTATAAAACCCCATCCAGGAATAATATTTTGTCTAATTAATCTATGTCATAGAGAAACTGGGATAAAAGAAAGCTTCTCTTCGAGTTAGAAGAAAATTCACCTACATATGAACATAGTTTCTTTTTTTTGTCTCTTTGAGAAACAGTTTCACTATGCAGTTCAGGCTGACTATGAACGCACTTTGTAGCCCAGGCTGGCCTCAAACTCACAGAAATACTCCTGCCTCAGCCTCCCATGTGCTGGGATTACAGGCATGTGCCACTGAAAGTAGTTTCTGATTCAGGATTGTGAATTATTACATTCAGTACTCTGCTTATAATAAAGTGAGACACTTTAGGTGGCACGTGAACTCTAAGAGAAATCAGACTATCGTAACTGGCACTTGTACTGTAAATTTTTCCACTACAGACCCTTTCATGATACAACAAATCTCAAAATACACTTCTAGTCAGGTATGGTGGCACATTTCTGTAATCCTGGCACTCTGGGAGGTGAGTGAGGAAAACTGTAAATGTGAACCCAGGACAACCTACTTATTGAGACCCTGTCTCAAAATAGAAAATAAAAAAGGCCTGACAATGTAGCTCAGGCAAAGGCTCTGAGTTTATTCCCCAGAATGAATGAATGAATGAAGGAATGAAAAATAAAAAAGGAAGGAAAGAAGGAAGAGAACTTTTTACCTGAATTATGACCCCTTTCAAGAAGAAACAGTAAGTGAATAAAGTACACAAAGAAAGAAAGAAAGAAAGAAAGAAAGAAAGAAAGAAAGAAAGAAAGAAAGAACAAAGAAAGGAAGGAGAGAAGAAAGGAAGAGAAATTTTTTTACCTGAATTATGATCCCTTTTAAGAAGAAACAGTAAGTGAATAAAGTACACTAGCAGAATGGCAAAGGGGGGCTGGATGAATGTGAATCATGAAAATGGGAAGCAGTAAGGGAGATCATGATCAACACAGTCTAGGAGTCAGGACACCTTTTCTGTCAAGGACCAGATAACGCATATTGTAAACTTAGTGAGCCAAGAGGCGGCTGATGATAATATTATCTATTTTGGAAGATTGTTATAAAGATAATAAATTACAGATATAAAACAGTCCTGTGTCTGACTCCATCTGACTATTATTCTTACATTTCATGGCAGGTTAAGCAAATAGCTTTGAAATGATTAGACCATAATCATCTAAATTGTTTCCATACCTAGAAACAATTACAAATTAATGTAACTTCTATGAGCTAATTATTTTTTGCTCTTTGCAAGAAAAGACTTGCTTTAAGTTATCATTTCATAAGTATAAGCGATGACATTTATGTAAGTGTACCAAAAACTTTAGCTTTTGCACTGAATTCAAACATCTATGAGATGTCAAATGTAAACAGCTTCACTGGCCATTTAACAAAAGAATTTACAAGATATCTTTCTCATATATTTAAATCCACCTCTAAACTCTGTATTTAGTAACATAGTACAACACAGAAAAAAGTTGCCATAACAAAATATAGTATATCTAATTCTAAACATGTATTTTAAGTATAATATAAAAAATGTTACACGTACAGTACAACATATATTAGAAACAATTTTCTTAGTCTTCATCTCATAATCCACAAAAACGATTTGTGGCTAGAAGTAAAGAGTGTACTCTTCCTTGTTAGGCAAAATGTGGAAAAGATCTTAGCAGTAATATTTATAGTCAAGAGTTCCACAGATCATCTGATCTAATGTGTAGATTCCAACAGCAGTATAAAGTTTACAAGAGAAGTGAACAAAGTGTTCCCTGGCTTAATACTTCTAATCACGTAACACACATGCATTCCTAACGTTTAGCTAAATGTGATTTTAATTAGAAGAACTACAGTTGAAGTTAACAATTTAACTGAAACGAACTATTTAAGAAAGAATATGCTATACTTACACTTGTAAATTTAAACATCTGCATCTATAAAATGTTACCTTATTTTCAGAAAAATTTTTTGATCAATTGAAAGGTAGCACTAAATCAGTTTAAAAAAAAATCTTTGAGGCTTATACCTTAGCTTTGATTAGTTTGTATTTATTTTGAAAAGAAAAGAAATTCTTAAAATTCCTACCATCCTCAGTCCTTGGCTGCTGAGGGAACATGTAGTTAGTAAGCACCATTTTCTGAGTCTCTGAGTCACTTTCTTTTTGAAGAGGTATCAGGGGTTTGGACTAGGGAAAGAAAATAAATGTTTAATTTTCAACAACCCTAAAGGAAATACATATCCAGCAAGTCCACTGAATAACTACTCAACATTTCTTTCCTATAAATTATCAAGATGTAAGTGACAAAAACAAATGTAAATATGAACAGTAACACTTTAAACATTCATTTGAAACCATATAAAAACACAAGGAAATTTAGTTGTTAGTATAAGGCAAATTCACAGTGTATCACAATTATCATGGAAATATGAATCGTTAAAAAGAGTTCATCATATACCTGTGTATCTATAATCCAAGAATATATTTATTACATAGTGATTTAATTTAAAAAGTTATAAAACATGCCTTTCCAATTTATGTTATTTTGCCCTCTCTAGTATTCCCTTTTGCAAAGATGCTGCTTTTGGAAAAAAATTCTTTGAAAATTTTAGTCTAGTTACTTAAAGGTTTATGGTAGGTAGAAGCTAACAAGAGAATGTTTAAAACAACCCTTCAATTGTAAACTGCTTGTCTCTCCTACCCTCTTGTCTATACTACTGGCACAAACAAATATTTTCATGAAGGCTTCAGGTATTTTGGACTTTTTTTTTTTTTTCCAGATTTTTTTTTCCTTACTGGTTAATAAATGTTACAAATTTATTTCTTCGGGCTGGGGATATAGCTCAGTGGTACAGCACCTTGCCTGGCAAGCACAAAGTCCTGAGTTCAATTCTCAGTACCAAAAACAAAAAAAAAAAAAACATTTATTTCTTAATATAACAGTTTTTCCAAACTTCTCATGTAAAGGTCCTACCAACAAAAGCCTTCATGGACTCTAGGCAAACAGAAAACTATCCAATTCTCCCCTCTTATACCACACTACTTCTTTGGATGTACTCTGTAAATGTAACAAACAGTTAACTCCCGTAACCTTACTTCCTAACTTTTCAAAACTTTGAAAAGTACCCTCCTTCTTGTTCTGCAATAATCAAAGTGTCCAACAATCTCAAAACTGACTTCCTCAGATAATGGAAGTGACCACCTCTATTCCTTTCCCTAAAATTACGCTTCAAGCCTCAAATACAGGCTGCTTATTCTCTCACACTGGATCCATCTATTTAGGAGACAGGGGAAACACTTAAAATGTTCCAAGATCATTACTCCTATATCCACAACTTTAAACTCCTGTTCCTCTGAGGTATATAACCCTTGCCTCTATATTCAATCCCTGATCCTATTATCTGCTGACTTCCAGGAAGTATCCATCTACAAGTTGAACATCCCTAAACCAAAAATATTCAAATACTTCAAAATCATTAACATTTTTGAGGGCAGACAAGAACACCATAAATGGAAAGTCTTATACTTGACTTCATGTGACAAGTCACAGTCAAAATGCACACAATTATTAAAAATATTATATAAAATTACTACCAGGCTATGTGTAGAAGATATATATGAGATATTAATGAATTCTAAGTTTAGACTTAGATCCCTGTCTTACCTTTCACCCATTGCTGGGAAAAAATACCCGACACCCAAAATTAAGGAAGGAAAGGTTTATTTAGTTTACAGTTTGTGGAGGTTTCAGTCCATACTTGGCTGGCTCCAAGGCAGAGTGGCACATGGCAGAGGGCAACAGTTCGTGGCAGCTGAGCAAGCCTCTTTCCCTCCCTTACATTATACACAAACTACCTGCCCCAGGGCAGGTGTAGCACTCACGCCTATAATCCCAACAATGGACCAGGGATCAATCATAAACTCTAGAAGCCTGCCCCATGACTGCATGAGGCTTTGTGGGGGACATCCAGACACAAACCATAACATTCCCCCCTGGACCCCCAAAGACTCATGTATATCCCTTCATGCAAAAGACATTTCAGTCCATCTCTTGCAGTTGCCAAAGTCCTAACACTTTTAGCATTGTTGAAAAGTCCAAGTCCCAGGTCTCCTCCAAGATCTAAGACAAACTCTTAACTGTGAGCCCCTGTACAAATGAAAACAAAGTTAAACACTCCCAACATTCAATGGCACAAGATAAATATTACCATTCCAAAAGGTACAAAAGGGGATACAAAGCACTGGGACAAAAGCAAGTCCAAAATCCAGCAGGGCTAACACTAAGTCCTGTAGTTCCATGTCCAGCATCTGAAGCAATCTGTGACACATGGTGAGATCCAAGGGGCTTAAACGACTCCACCCCTTTGGTACTTCTAGTGGCTGTAGCTCCCATGACTTCTCTCTTGGGCCTCCTTTGCTCCCTCCTTGCAGCTTTCCTTAAACAATCCACATTCCTGGCTTTTCCAAACACCTGGTGTCTCCAGTGCACCTCTCGTCACAATCACAGCTTCACATACTGCCCTCTCAGGGGCACACTACACTGCCTGGCATCCCAAACCTTTTGAAATTTAGGTGAAAGCCTCCTTAACCTCAAAGCTCTTGCATTCTATATGCACCTAAAACCAGCGTTGGATGATGAATGACGCCAAGGTCCACTGCCAGCTGGAACAGCAGCCAAGCTTTCCTCTCTTGGCCATAGTTGTTGAGTGCCTGGATCACTGTGCACTCTGTTGTTTTTTTTTTTTTTTTTTTTTTTTTTTTTTTTTTTTTCAATACTTTCCGGGACCGGGAACCGAACTCACGACCTTGCGCCTGCCAGGCAGGCGCTTTTGCCGCTGAGCTAAATCCCCAGCCCTCACTGTGCACTCTGAATCCCATTCTGAGGAACAAATTCTCTATGCTGCCACCATTCTGGAACCCGGTATGGCTGCCACCATTTTGTAATGTGGCAGTGACACTTTCTCCTCAAAGCAAAGTCTTTCCATCTTTCCAGGTTTGAGGCTGCAAAGGGTGGAGACCTACTGCTTCTTGTGATGCCCTCAAGCCATCTTCTGTTCCTTCTCAGCAAGGGAAATCTCCTCAGTTCTATATTTGCAGTCCACAGCTTTACTGGAGCTTCCTTTCTGGCCAAACTCACATTTTAAATCATCCTGCTGGGCTCTGTGCTCTTGATTCTCAACATATATCTGGTCAAAAGCCCCCAATAGCCATGCTACCGCCTCAACATTCAATTGCCTTGAAATTTCTTCTGCCAGATTAATCAGTTTACCGCCCTTAACTTCAGTCTCAGGCAAAGCCTCTGGACATAAGCAAAATGCAGACAAACTTTCTGCCAAGCCATAATACACATCATCTGGAGTACAACAGCCCATGCAGTCCTTTCCAGCAAAAACCTACCAAGTCCAGTCTTTACCAGCAGGATTTCTATCAGCATTCTGGTCTTCTGAGTGCTGACAAGAATCTCCCATACAGAACAGCTGAAGGCGTTCTAATGCTTCTCCTTCAGGTGAAATCTCCAAACCTTGCCAAACTCTTCGCACAAACCTTTCCCAAAAGTTTCCCAAAACCACACAGTTGAGCATAGTCACAGCAACAACCCCACTCCTGGTACCAAATTCTGTCTCAGTTACTTTTCTCTAGTTGCTGGGACAAAACACCTAACACCCAAAATTAAGGAAGGAAAGGGTTATTTAGCTCAGTTTGTGGAGGTTTCAGTCCATACTCAGCTGGCTCCAAGGCAGAGTAGCACACGGCACAGGGCAACAGTTCAATGTGCCAGAAAACAGCAAAAGCAACAAGAGCAAAAAGGGAGGAGCAGCAGAGAGCAAGCCTCTTTCCCTCCCTTACACTACATGCAAACTCCCTGCCCCAGGCTGGGTGTAGCACTCACACCCATAATCCCACCACTGGACCAGGAATCAATTATAAATTCTAGAAGCCTGCCCCACGACTGCATGAGGCTTTGGGGGGACATCCAGATACAAACCATAACAATCCCCAAGACCTCTCATTATACATTTGTAAAACTGCAAAATCTGAAAAAAATCCAAACTCTGATATACTTCTGGTTCCAAGTATTGCAGATATGGGAAACTCAACCTATACTCACATTTCTTTTATCCAAAATCTTTCAACAGTCCTGGATAATTCAACAGATACAAAATGTAGACAACACAGCTATATTTTTAGTCAAGTGGTTTCTTAGTGGAGAGTATGGTGAGGAGGGGAGGGGCGAAGTCCCCTTTCAATGGGAATATCAAAATTATGTGAGAGGCTTTTAAAATTTAACCCCCTAGAAAATATTTTAAAATTAACCACTAAAATCTCTGAAATTCTGTGAACATACTGAAAGTTATACACTTTAGTACAGGTGGATTATAGCATATGAACTATATAGTTCAATAAAAACTTTCTAAAGTAACTAATCACCTTTTATTTATGGAGTATAAGGATACAAAAAGGAATTAAGAATTATTTATGGAGACAGTGCCTTGAACACCTCATTCTATTGTTCTTTAAACATATTTAATTTCAGATATTCCACTACTTGCCATAATTCTGAGAATATAACCTGTAAGTACTTCTTTAAAATCTGAAATCACTGGGGCTGGGGATTTAGCTCAGCGGCAAAGCGCCTGCCTGGCAAGCGCAAGATCATGAGTTCGGTTCCTGGTACCGAAGAAAAACCAAAAAAAAATAAAATAAAATAAAATAAAATCTGAAATCACTCATTTAACAAATATTTACTCAGAATCTTTTATATTGAGGCACTATGACAGGCACTGGGTATAAAGGGAAAAGCAAAGGAAGTATTTTTACTGAGTTTATAGAGTTTACAGTAGGTGAATGGGAGGATAGAGGTAAGAACAGATAGTATACAATTGCAATATTGTGAAACTACAGGGTAGACAAGGTATAGGGTGCTAAGAGAACATATAGAGGAAAGTATTCACATATTAGTAAGAATTGCCTCCTCAGTATTTTATAGCCGTAAGGAGGAGGTGGCCAAGGAGAGAAAACAAAGAGACTGAGGAAAAACAGCTGCCTTTGTTGCAGCACTAAGAGAAACAGACCCTAAGTCTGGTTCTCGGGGCCCTAAGAAGAACTCATCAACTACATTCATCTGCTACAGCTGTCAAAAGCCAGGCCACCTCAAGAGGGACTGCCCTAAGAAGTCCCCTGGGCCATGCCCTGACTGTAAAGGCGATCACTAGAGGTCAGACTGCTCTCTGAAGTGAAGGCTCCAGAGCTCAGACCCCTCCTACCAGCTGGTCCAACAGTGATGGGCCCAAGGCATACTCTGCCTTCTCCCTCTGGCCAGACCGTTAACTCCAAGGAGGAGCCCCGCGTAATCATGACTATAGAGGAAACAGTAAACAGCCTATTGCTGGACACTGGTGCCAGTCTCTTGCTCCTTCTTTTCAATCCTGGCCTTCCTTCCAGCCGTCACACGTGAGTGAAAGCAGTCACTCACGAGGAGGTAATCTGCTATTTTTCACAACACTTATGCTGTAATTACTTGTTAGATCTTTCTTGCGTATCTGTTTTCCTGGGAAACCACCTTGAAGATACCAATGTGTATTACAGCAGCCATTGATAATTTCCTACCAATCTGTCCATAACTCTGTAATGTTTGTATTGTTCCTATGCTATATCGTAAATGGATGTATGTTTATTACTATGTGTTTCCAACAACCATTGAGAATAGTCAATGATTACTTAATTGATCACTCATGTATAGCTCTTATTTGTTTTCTCTAGAAACCGCTTTGAAGAAACCAAAGTAAAGTACAAAAACCATTGATAATTTCCTACCATTTTTGTCTATTTGTTTTCTTGAGAAACTACCTTGAAGATACCAACAGGTAAAATAACAACCATTGATAATGTCCTACCACTTTGTCTGTAATTCAGTAAATCCCATTACTATGTTATCCTTCTTTTACTCTTTAAAATTAAAAAAATAACCCTGTCTCAAAAAGACCAAAAACAAAAAAAGGCAAAAAGTTGAAATTAATAATATATTTAACTCTACATAGTCAAATATTATAATTTTAACGTGTTATCTGGAATAAAATAACATGAGAATTTTATTTCTAATACATATCAACTTGGATCAATTAAATGACAATAGTGGCTACTTTATTAGACAGAGTACGTCTACATGAATGATGATAGTGGACAGTATTTAAGAGAGCAGTAGTAAAGGGAAATAAACATGAGCTCTCTAAGATTCAACAGGCTTGGCGATAAATTGAACTAGAGTACAGAGAAGAACAGCAATTAAATCACATTTCCATGTCTATGCCTCCATCAAGTACTTTATAATGAGCTACAGAACCCAGGCAAAAAAATATTTGGGGTGGAAAATGGTATGCTCAATCTTAGGCTGGCTGAATTATTTAGGTGGCAACATTAATAAGGCATTAAGCTATATGAATGAAGTTTGGGTCTGGGCACTGGAATAAGGACACTGTTAGAAATAATAAGGATATAGAAAATAACTTGGAAGGGAAGTACCGAAGGCAGGGGGAAAAGAAATATCCCTCAAAAGGAGACTGAGTAGTAGTCAGTCAAAGAGAAAACCATCAGAGTATGGTAACGGACACCACATACCTCTCCCACATCACTGTTTCTGTAACACTTGCTGATCACCTTCATCAAGACTGGTTAATTCCCTGACCTTTCAACATTCTATTATTTGGCTCCTGTCTTTGCTTCCCTTTTGACTACACTATATCTCATTTCAACGACTCTCCTGTCAACAGACAAGTCTCCTTTCTGTGTTATCCTTTTCTTATATCTGATTTAGCAAAGGCACAGTGCAGTTCTTCTGTGTACTTTCTCTTTATCACACAGCTGAGCAAATTAGAAACATTACAAATTTGTGCAATACTAATTTATACTTCTGTACTTGTACTTGTATAGTGGTATTAGTAGTACCTCAGTAGGGTGCTTTTCAATGTTGCTTAAAAATTCTTCTCCATTTCCTAAGTTGTGTTCTGAAGATATTACTTCTTTAAAAATTCTAAAAAATAGAGGGTTCAAGAACATCTACAGTTGTAGGTAGTAAGACTACTGTATAAAAACCCTAGGAAAATACAGGTTCAGATAAATTATTATAAAGTATTATTTAAAGTTACATAGTAAGCATTAATTATTAAAAAGCTCAATAGATTATATATTCCAAGAATCCTTGCAAATGTTGCTAGGGATGTAAATTAGTAGTCATTACTGAGAACAGAATAGAAGGTCATCAAAACAACTACTATATGATTCAGTAATCTCATTGCTGCATACACATCCAAAGGAAATTCAATCTGTGTGTCAGTAAGATATCTGTACTCCCATGTTCACTGTAATATTATTCACAATAGCCAAGATAAGAAAGCAATCCAAGTGTTCATCAATGGATGAATGGGCAAACAGAACGTGAAATATATATCCACTAAAATACTGTTCAGCTTTAAAAGGAAACCCTGTCATGTGCAACAACATGAATAAACCTGGAGCACAGTATGCTAAGTGAAATAAGCCAGATGTAGATGACAAATATAACACAACATCACTTACATGTGAAATCAAAAACAGAACTCACAGAAAACCAGTAAAATAGTGATTAGCAGGAACTGAGGTGGAGAATAAATTAGGATACAGTGATTAAAGGATAAAAAATTCAATTAGAGAGGTGGAATAAATTAAGAGGACCACTGAACATCATACTGACTACAACTAAAAACAACATATTGTGCTATGCATGGTGGTGCACACCCGTAATCTCAGCTACTGGGAAGGCTAAGGCAAGGAAGACTGCAAGTTTGAGGCCAGCCTGGGCAGTTCAGTGAGGTTCTGTCTCAAAAAAAGAAAAAAGGTTGGGATGGGAATGTACTGAGAACATATGTAACTCTGGGGTAGGGTACGTGATCAGCGTACCTGAGGCCCTGGGTTTAATCCCCAGTCAAAAACAAAACAAAACAAAACAAAACAAAAACCCCAAAACGCAATGAACTGTATTCTTAAAAATTGCTGAGAGAGTGTATTAGAGTATTGCATCTGATTTCCTAATCTCCTTATTTTTATACGTATAGAAAATAAGCTCTGTAAGATTTATTATTTACAAATCAAAAATGTATATATCAGGAAAAGAAAAACATATAAATATTTTAATGCCAAATCTATTAAGACATCATGAAATTAATACAAGTTACCTTTGGCCTCTACAATTACAAGAGATGCTCAAAGTGGCGACCATTAGCTTCCTGACATTCATTAGCACGGTGAATTGCTGAAGTGTGTATACACTTTTTTGGCAGACCTCTAAATGGTCCTATGCAAATGAAGAGTGCATAATTATGTAACACAATCTAGTATTTCCCAAAATCAGAATACTCACCTGATTATCTGAAAGCCACATAGCAGTCAACTGTTGTAGCTTTGTAAAGCTAAAGGGCAAATTCTTTAATCTGTAGGAAAAAATACAAAGAAAAATTAAACTTTAAAATGAGACTATTTAAAGTGATTAAAATTAGGGGCTGAAGGTATACCTCAGTCATAGAGCACTCACCTAGCACGTGAAGGCCCTAGGTTTAAGCTTCAGAACCACACAAATAAAACGAATAAAATCTGAATGTAAATAGTCTTCTGAAAAATGCTACATTAATAATGGTATAGCAAACAGTATAAAAGAAAAATCCCAATATAGGTCTTTATATAGGATACAAGGCAAAATATTTAGTTTTTAAAGTATTAATTCCTTAAAGGAAACAATTTAACAAGCAAAAATTCTGATTATCTAATAACTTCAAAAACATATTATAAAAATAACAAATGTCTGCCTTATAGAAAAGACAAGGACACATTGAACAATGTCTCATAAAACTGCTTTGTTTTTATTTGTACGTAAACAAATTTCTAGAGGTAGTTTGTTATAAAAACTGTACTGCTCTGTATTTTTTAATTGGTATATACTTATTATAATCAACAAGCACTATTTTATGATGATAATAAAGTAATATAACTGCTTATTAGAATGCTAAGCTGAAATACTTCTCTATTTAAAATAGACCGTCTAACTTAAACTTGCAATCTTAGGCCTCACTAACTAGTTTTCTGTACCTACCTTTAAAGGCAGTCTGTCAGAACCTAGTCTAATACTCTAGAGTTTGAGAAAATTTAAGTATAAGCTGCAACAAGGTTTTAAGTAGTGGCTCTTTTTTAAGTAAAATATAAGTCAGAATACTGCTAACCAGTCAAAAAACCAGGTTTAATTAAAGCTCTACCTTACAACCTACATGAGTCACTTTAAATGTGAGCTGTACAGTTCTCCTACATAAAATGGGAATAACTGTTCTACTATCTCACAGGGTTGTTTTGAAAACCCCATGAGATACATATATAAAGAGGAACAGAATTAGCTATTCTAAAGCATATCATATGAAACTTTAACTTCATTCAATCAGTATCATCTATGCCAACAGATGAAGATACTATTACAAACCTATTGTCACTTAAATTAATGACTTTTAATTTCTGCATATCACCCATTTCCTCTGGAAGTATCTCAAGCTTATTAGAATGGAGAAACAGCACAGTTACATTTTTCCAATTTCCAATCTGAAACAGAAACATAAATTGAGGTTAAAAGATTTGGCCTCTAGGTAAACATGAGAATAACATATTTAAAAGTTGTGAAAAAATATTCTTTGACTTTATAAAGGAATTAAGCTTATTTTTTTTCAATAATTAATTTTCAAAAAAAAAATTAATTTTCACATACAAAGGAAATATTTAGGTATATGTTCTAAATTAACATAAATATTACTCAGAAAAGAATAACATTGATTAATTGATTGATTGATTGTCTTTTCTGAGACAAGGTTTCACTATGCAGTCCAGGCTGGCCTCGAACTCTCAGCGATCCTCCTGCCTCAGCCTCCCAAGTGCTGGGATTACAGGCAAAATAAATTATTTTAGAGAGAAAATGATACTAGATATCAATAAAGACGATCACAAAAAGATGAAAAAAAAATCTGAAACAAACTGAAAGTACTGTACCTCTGGGGGTAGCTGCTGTAAGTAATTATGATCTGCAGCAAAAGTTCTTATGTTATTAAGCTGTCCAATAGATGAAGGCAAAGCTTCAATTTCATTGAAACTGCAATCCAGTTCTTCTATTGATATTAACCTTTAATTATATGAGAACACATATTATTCAAAGCAAGATTTCCTATATAATCAAAATTTAAGAACGTATTATCTGACTTGACATTAACAAGCCTAGTGAAACTTCATAAAATTAAATTTCACCAAAAGTAAATAGACGTGTTTTTAATGATAAAAAAAAATACCGACAGGTTTATCAATTATTTAAGTATTTGTAAAACTTCCTTTAGATGTTATTTATGCAAATATCTGAAAATATACACAGCATACCGGACTAAAAGTAAAATTTTCCATGATCTACATACTTCCACAAAAAACTTACCCTCCTATAGACTCTGGTAGATACATTAATTGATTTTCATCTATTTTAAGAGTTGTGACATTCTTCAATGAACCTATTGAGAATATACAATTTTTAAACTCAAGCAGAATCAAATCCACACAGAGTCAATATGAGACACATTGCATATGACCAGAATTAAAACTTTGCCAACCAATCTTTCTAAGAGAGACATCACCTCCAAACCCATTCAACAGTTACCTGAACCCACATTTTCACCTTCTCTATACATCACTTCTGGTAGTGTACGTTTGCTTTTATTAAGCTCACTAAAATACAAGCTTCATAAGAGAAGGGACTTTCTGCGGCTGGGGATTTAGCTCAGCGGCAAAAGCGCCTGCCTGGCAAGCGCAAGGTCGTGAGTTCAGTTCCCGGTACCGGAGAAAAACCAAAAAAAAAAAAAAGAGAAGGGACTTTCTGTCTGCACTGTCCATTCTTCAGCCCTGTTCCTAAAAACAATCCCACAGCACACACAGGAAACACAATACAAACTCAGTGAATTAAGAGATTAAACAAGTGGTAGAGTGAAGGCTGTTGATAGCGGTATAACAAACTATGCGACGTATACAAATACGACAACAGTAAAATATTTTCAAAAATTAAATGTCGATTAAATTATAATCAAATAGAATCCTAATAAATTTGCAAAATATACCTAAATCAGCTATGTAATTCAACTGAAAAAATAAGTAAAAACATTTTTTAGTTTTTATATTCAAGCATCATGAAGATGACAAGATTTACTTCAGTCATCTTATCCAAACAATCCCCTTGATCATTCATCAAACAAGCAACTTCACAAAATACAGATTCAAGGGTAACTGCAGGTCTCTGGTAGGGTTTGTTCAACAAGTGTGTTTTCTTGTCTGTGAATATTTCATAAAGTAGGACTGAAAATAAAGACTATGGTTAAATATTAAAAACAAAATTTCTTTTAAAGAGTTTATCATAATTATAAAAAATGAATTTCCAGGATAAATAAAAAACACAGTAACACAGTCAGGCATGGGGGCACATGCCTATAATCCTAGCACTCTAATTACTGCACGGGGCTCTCAAGTTTTAGTCCAGCTTGAGTAACTTAGGAAGAATTTCTCTCAAAATAAAAATTTAAATAGGGGTAGGAATGTAGCCCAGTGCCTCTGGGTTCAATCTCATGACTTAAAAAAAAAAAAAAAAAAAAATCACATACAGTAACATCAACAAAGGAGTTGTTAATGCATCTGATCACATTAGGAAAATGTCAAATAAGATTTTTTTTCCTGTGGTAATACAGTAAAGCTATCTTATGACAAAATTTGAGTTTATGTGGAAGCCTTAAGTTCACTTTAATAAAAACTACACAAATTTGAGAGCAATACAAACCAATAGTCTCAGGAAGTTGTTGAAGTGAATTGCTTGATAACAGGAGGTCTTGGAGGTTTTCACATGCTGAAATTCCTTCTTCAACCATTTCAATATTATTTTTAGAAACATCCAAATATATGAGCTGTTTCAAACTACCAATAAACTATAAGTTAAAAAAAATATAATTATCAAGTAATTTATGAAAAGTTTTAAGTAACAAACCTAATATCAAGTTTTACATAATTAAATGTTTATATAAGGAAGAGGACTCCAATTTTTTTTTAAATGCCACAAGAAATATTTTCAGCAATAAAGCTAAGAATTCCTATAAATTTTAGTTCCTTAGAGTGACAAAGGACATTATTTTTCTTTGGGAATTTAGCTATCACCTTCTAGGGAAATAGAATATAAGGGGATTCTTATGGTTTCTTTAGATACAGGAGTATATAACTTCCCAGCTGATAAGACAGAGAGTTCACAAAAAAATATCTTAGTTTGCTAGGCATGGTGGGGCACATCTGAAAACCCAAGACTTTGAGAGGCTCAGGCAGAAGGATTCCAAGTTCAAACTCAGGCTGTGGAACTTAGCCAGACCCTATCTTTAAAAAAAAAATTTAAAGTGTTGGGAGTGTAGCTCAGTGTAAAGGCCTGGGGTTCAATCAGGAAGGAAGGATGGAAGGAAGGTAGAAAGGCAGGAAGGGAGGGAGGGAGGAAGGGAAGCAGGGAGGGAGGCAGACAGGAAGGAGGGGAGGAAGGGAACGAGTAAGGGGAGGGAGGGAAAGAAGGTGGGCAGGCAGAAAGAAAGGAAGGAAGGGGAAGGGGGAGGGCAAGGGGAGGAGGAAGGCAAAGGGGGAGGGGAAGCGAAGGGAACGGGAGAGGGGGAGGGGAAGTGGGGAGGGAAGGGAAGGGCAGGAAGAAAAGGAGGAAGGGAGAGAGAAAGAAAGGAACAAAGAAAAAAGAGAGAACAAGAGAGAGGGAGGGAAGGGGAGAAAGAAATCATTCTAGTTTAAAAATTCTCTAGGCAAACTGATATAAATTCAGTTGCTGCAACTGACAATAGGAATTTCCAGATTTTAATCAGGAATATGCTAACAGTTTTAACATTCTATTTTGGTTTGGGCATGGTGACACACACCTGTAATCCCAGCACTGGGAGGCTGAGGCAGGAGGATAACCATGAGTTTGAGACCAGCCTGGACTACAGAGCAAGACCCTGTCTCAAAAAATAAAATTTTATTTCATTAATAAGGAATTAAATTATCTTTTTTTTGAGATGGACTCTCACTATATACTTTAGGATGGCCTCAAACTCATAGAGATCCTCCTGTTTCAACCTTCTGAATGCTGGGATATAACAGGCATGCACCACCACACCTGGCTATAATCACTGTCTAACTAATTAAAATACACAGTTCAGCTACTTCAAAGGAGAGGCAGCAACAAGTAAAACAATTTAGAATTTCATATACATACCCCTGGAATAAAAGTCAGTCTATTACCATCCATCCAAAATTCTTTCAGTCCACTTAGTTGCTCAAGTACTTCAGGCTGATTGGACAGAGGGGAAAATCCAATTAATTTATGTAAATATTTATTTATTTATTTGTAAAGATATATATTTATCTGGCAAAAGCAAGCCTGGGAACTTCTGATATCAACCTTTACTTTCAAAACATTAAATAAGGGTCAGGAACGCAGCTCAGTGGCACAGTGCCTGCCTGGCAAGGGTGAGGTCCAAGTTCAATTCCTAGTACCTAAATAAATAAATAAATAAGTATCAAAACATTAAATAAAAGAGGAAAGGGGATGGTGGTACATCACTAAAATGTGCACCTTTTCACTGCTTTATAGTTACAATAAGATTATTAAAGAAAAAATTAAATATAGACATTTTATAATATGGATTATATATAAGTCATTAAGCTTTGGACTGTGCAATACTATCATGTATTATACAATTAATAAAGACAGAACCCACTACTCAAAAGTGTACAGTAAAAAGAGGATCTCATTATCAATAAAAAATACAACCTCTTAGGAAATCTTCGTAAAATTACAAAGACATTGCTCCCCGGTGACATTAATAAAGTAGTAGTAGAAAGAGAACTTACATCCTAAATCCAGTAATAAGGGAAAGGTAAATGAGCAAAGCCATAACCACATGATACTGTCACCCTACAAAGCCAGGTACAATCAATGACCATAAGATGGCAAAGAGCATTATCTAATTATCACAACAACATGAGTCATACAGGAAAGTCATGTCATTTAGATTTACTGCTAACATAATAATATAGATGAGAATTCCAGATCTAATTATGATTAAAAGAAATTTCCTTTTGTGGTTTAATTGTCTTCTTGTGTTGTAATTCCATTAGCTTTTTAAAAATATATAATGTTGAAAGACCACTGTTTTCACAAGAACAAAAACCATAAACACAGTGAATTACAGCAGACATCATTTTCAGTTTACTACACTTGATCTTAGCCAAAAGGCCAAGAAGCAATATCATCTTCAGTTTAATCATAAAGAATATGAAGACAGAAAATACAAGATATCCCAAAAGCACCACTGCCATCCACTGACTGCAACTGAAATGCACACTATACCAGTAATACAATATTACAACAGACAGTACTGAGAAATTCTTCTTTATCATTTGAACACCATCAAAAAATGAACAAAAATAAATTTTAAATTTATAATTTAAAAAATTTTAATTTGAAACTTAAAATTCTGGCCAGGCTGGGCTTGGTGATGCATGCTTGCAATACCAGCACTCAGGTGGCTACGGCAGGAGAACTGTCACAAGCTTGAAGACAGTCTGGGCTGCATAGTGAGTTCAAGGCCAGCCTGAACTACATAGTGAGACCCTGTATCCCCGCCCCCAAAATTCTAGCCAGGCATGATGATGCACGCCTGTAATCACAGCACTGGGGAGGAGACTGAGGGAGGAGGATAGTCACATGTTCGAGACCAGCCTGGGCTACACAGTGAATTCAAAACCAGCCTAAACTACCTAGTGAGACCCTGTCTCAAAACTAATAAATAAACCAACCCCCCCCCACAAAACAAAAACCCAAAATCAAACAAGGATAATCAACTCTGTGAATTCTTCTTTTATTCATTTTTTGTCTTTTTGAGATACGGTCTCACTATGCAGTTCAGGCTGGCCTTGAACTCATTTTGCAGCCCAGGCTGACCTCAAACTCACAGCAATCCTCTTGCCATAAACTCCTAAATGCTGGGATTATAGACAAGTGCTGGGATTATAGGCCTATGTCACCACATCCGGCCTATCTAGCTTATTTTCTGATTCATTTAACACAATTGACCAGTCTGAATACAAACTCAAAACTAACCATTGTTTCATTCAATGCTTTTTTCCTTCTGGCTGTTAAGTATAATTATAGAAGTATCTTATCACTGAATAATTCACAAACTATAACCCTCATAGTGATTTAGAACTATGTTACCTCAGCTATATTCTGTATGTATGTATGTATATGTATATATGCGGGGGGCGGGGGGGCTGACAGGGTTTCCTTTTGAGTTTAGGCTGGTCTTGAGCTCACTATGTAGTCCAGGTTGGCTTGGAACTTGCAGTGATCCTCCCGCCTCAGCCTCCCCACGGATCGGATTACAGGTGTATGCCACCATGCCTGCCTCAGCTGCATTCCAGAGGAAATTTTTCACTTACAATCTGTCAAACTTTGCTTCCTATGGTAAAAAACCTCTAGGCATCTCATCACTGAACTTCTCATTTATTTTATATTATCTCACTTGTCAGATTTTCCTCTAGTTAATTTTTATACTGGTCTGGAAAGTTCAAATTAGGACTTTTTTTTTACCTTATATACCTCAGGACAGTGTAAACCTTTACCAAAATTTTAAGAGAAATCCTTTAATTTTCACATTTTGCACCTGCTCATACACAAGACCTACAGCTAGGGAAACTGATGAGAACTTACCACTTCTGTGAATTCATTACTGCCCAAATCCAGTCTTTCCAGCTGGGTCAGTCTGTTCATGGTTCTATTCACAATAGTAAAGAATTAACTACATAAAAGTACTAAACAGCAGCTTTCAAAGTTCAGAGTTTAAAATACACTTATGTAATGACGTAGACAGGCTTTCACAAATAAAAATA